GCTTAGTCTAGCAGTTTATAACAATATAACAAATTAGTCGATAATTATTTGTTTGTTGTTTTTTTTTTTTTGGTTCCTTTTTTTTTTTTTTTTTAGATTCAAAATTGGATATATGGTATAATCAATCTAACGTTAGGAACGGTCAAGCTCAGTCTACAGATGGATTGGAGTTAATGGAGAATACTTCCCCATTTTTGCGTAAACCAAAACCCATTTATCCGGTGCATATGAAAGAACGTCAAATTGCACATATTGAATCTATTAATAAGAATCCAAATGAATCTGTTACTTTTAGAAATAATTTACCTACTGATTCCTCGGCCTCATCATCAGGTTTAGTATCCTCCTTGCCGTACCCTACATCTCCATCTCTTGCATCATCATCGTTAGTGTTATCCCCAAAACATTCACCAACATTATCAATGTTACCTCCATTATCTAAGTCAATAACTGCATCCCCAAAACATTCTTCATTACCAACATTACCATCATTATCTTTAATGCCATCATTATCAACATCTTCTTCATCAATGTCTTCATCAACTAATTCATCATTTGGTCCATCTCAATTTTGGCGGAAACCAAGCATAACAAATTTTTCTCATTCATATTTAACTTCTAATAATGGTTCAACTTGTTCACATTCAACATTTTTAAATGGTCATTCATATCATGCGACTTGGAATTATTCATATCCAAAACCTTCGAATAATAATAATTCTGATTCATCTTGTTTGGATAAAAAACCTATTCATCAGTCTTCATCAAATTCAAATAAGGGTCCTATTCTTCCAGATTTAACAACTTTAAATAAGAGTCATTATACTTCCGGTCCACAAAGCTCCCTAAACAAGGAATCTATGTTATCAAATCGATTTGATTCAAATTCCACTCGGAATAATTCTGAACATGGATCAATGCATTATTTTCTTCCACCATTACAATTACCTCAAAGATTTCATTTACCACAACCAAATGCGTTGCCTCCGTTACAACCGATAAGCGATTCGCATTATATACCACCACTGCCACCTCAAGATAATCGAAGATCATCAGAACGGACACAACAAATGCCATCGATAACTCCTAAAATTAATAATGAGGTTACCGTTTTATCTCCGCCTAGCAAACGTGATGTAACAAGTGATTCATGTGGAATAACAACATCTAACTATTGTGATTCCGAAAAAGAGAAAAATAAATCAGTGGCATCAGAAAGCAAGTCAGTTTCCCAAGGGAATAAGTTAACCCCGCGTTTCGTTCCAATTAAAGCATACCCTCCGACTGATACTGTTAAAAAATCTTCAGCTTATGGTACACGAGGTCGAAGTACATCAAGTGCAAAAACGCGTCATTCAACTGATGGCAGTGGTGCTGTAACATATCAAGCATTGAATCGTCGTTCTACTCATACAAATAGAAATACACATGGTCATGGTGTACATCAAACATCATGTCAGCAAATTAAACCTATTAATGGTACGGTTGATCAACAAAATTCATACAATTATTCTTATAATTATGATGTAATGGATAGTAAAAATGAAAAA